GGTTAGGGTTAGGGTTAGGGTTAGGGTTAGGGTTAGGGTTAGGTTTAGGGTTAGGTTTAGGGTTAGGGTTAGCTTTTGAATGCTAGTAAAAGCATTTTGCTGAGCGTTTCGGAGGGTGCGGATTTGCCCTCCGCGGTTATGTCGGCGCGCTAGGGTCACCTTTTTCCTTAGCGCTTCGAACGGCGCGGATTTGCCCTCCGCGGTTATGTCGGCACGGAAAAGGGCTTTGCGGTTTTGTCGGTGAACTGTTGAAGAGTTCATCAAAAGGTTTCCAGCAGGAGATGAGTGAGCCCTGATCACATTTTTGACACTCCTGAAGTAAATTGTAACCTTAAGAGTGAGTAGGAGATGTATAGTAAATATAGCTGCTCCTTTTCTTTTAACTAAAATTGGCGATAAATCTTAATGGAAGTGAAAATTTTTAAGAAGTTGCCCTCGTGAATCTCACCGTGAAACAATTGTAATAATGATACAATTGGCAAAGAGAAAATAATCACATGAGTCCATTCAAAGAGAAATGAAATATACAAAGGAAGGGACATTACTATGAGAATTATTGTCTTAGATTACCAGTATTCTTATAGGATGAATTGGCTAAAAACCAATTATATGTTCTAGTCTCCAACTGTACATAATAAAATTTCAAGAACCACACAAGAACTTTGCTGAAGGATCAGAAGAATTTTTCCCTAGAGTTTGACTTATAACATAGAATAAGTTCCCGGTGGAAATTAACATGTGGAAGATGGAGAGGGCCATTTATACTGCTTAGTGTCTATGGAGATTCTCAATCATCCAGGTCATGATTATCCAAAAGGTGCTTTTTCCAAAAGGCAGCTGGACTTCCTTGTTTTCTCTTCCTTTGCAAACATTTCACTTCTCATCCAAGCAGCTTCTTCAGTTCCAATTTATGCTGCTGCGCCTATTAGTTCTTATGGTTAACCTGCCTTTAAATGTTGGATGAAGAATGCAAGCTGATACACATTTGTTTAGAAGTAAATGCTACTGTGTCCAAATTGTAAATATATTCTAAACAAAACAAGAAAATTAAGCAGGAGACCCTTTCCTCTTTTTAAAAAAAAAATACCTTTTGTTTGGCATCCAGGATTTTGGCTTCTAGATCAGCAGGTATTATTTTGCCCCTGCAACCAAAGTGAAATGTGAAAGCCAAATCTGACACACAAGAAAGAACAACAAAAAAAGGACTAAACAGAAATGAAACAACAGTAGGGCATTCACTGATGCTGTTATTATGTCCATAGCATTGTTCCAACCTGAACATAAACACAAAGACTTCCAGCTAAAGATGTATAAATATCTCACCTTTCATTGCACTTTATTAAAATCACATTTTCAGTACCAAATCCAAGTGCAGCTCCAGCTTTCTTTATTGAATAGTGACTCTGAAACAACAATGTTAATATATGTTAATTTGTTAATAATGTTAATTTGCTATGATTGCTTTTAAACTCCAAAATGCTAAGGAGGAAGAAGGGAAAGGAAACAAAATAGACATAATCTCTCCAGAACAAGGCTGATGAGAAAAATCACAATATCCAGTAATTACAATCATGTTAATTGAAATTATTGAGCTCACATGTTCTGAGGTAAAAAGGACCAGTTTAGGCACTGCAGCCATGCCTTTGGTTTTGACTTCCGGGAAATATTTATAGCGGGCAGCCATGATGCTATACATATTGGATATAGCACCACCTATAATGAAAGGACCCAACAATAGAGTATTAGAAACGTGAAAATAAGAAGTCTGATATAGTTCTATCACAAAGGTATAAGCGGTATTCATGGACTACGTTGCAAATGTAGCCAAAAAAGCATCAATATCCAGTGAACCAATAGACAAAAGTTAATGATAATCACCTCGGTTTTTAGGCAAGGCTAACTCTCCAATTTTATGAGTATGACCTTTTCTTAAGGTAATAGTTGCAAAAATTTCAAATTCAACCACGTTCCTCAGGAAGCGGTGAACAAGATATGGTTTCCTGAAATCTCTGCTTAAATATTGAGACCCAGAAATTCTATTGGTCCCAAGTGTTTTGTGTTATTTTGGATATTGTCATGGTTACATGCAAACAAGAACACTTTTACATTTCTATTTAAAGAGAAGCACATTAAGGTTTTAGTTAATATTGCATTTTGACTATCTTAAGTGACATTATCAAGAACGGTTAGGAAAGTTAACTTTGATAATATTGAAGACTGCAATAATTAAAATGTGCAACACTAAAAGCATAGAAGATCACTCACTATATATCAGTATATATAATGTTAGCCTCATTTAATATAAGTAAGAAGGTCAAAAATCTAAAAGTTATGCAAGTTATAAAATAGGAGAATGTCATTTGTTTGGCCTCAGAGACCGCCTGCTGCCAATTACCTCCACTAGACCGATCAGATCCCACAGATTGGGCCTCCTCCGAATTCCATCTGCCGGCCAGTGTCGACTGGTGACTACTCGGAGGAGAGCCTTCTCTGTGGCTGCTCCGACCCTCTGGAACGA